AATTCTACATACTATGTTTCTACATACAATGGGCTGTGTTTCCATTTGTTCTGATTCTAATTTGTATAATGCACTTGAACTTCTCCCACTCCAACATTTTTATGTGAAATACTTTCTAGATTACGCCAAAGTTTGTGAGAGGTGACTCCTGTGGTCTCTGTGTAATGCAATTGAGCAGAAGAAATGAAAGCAAATCTCCAGAACCATATTCAGAATTCCCAATTTCTCATACTATAGTCAGTTTCAGTTCTTTTGCTGCAAAAACAGGATTACAGAAAGTAGCACAGCCAATAAACAGCAACCCATTCCTTTCAGTGAGTGCAGCTCCCATATACTGAAAATCCCATCTGTTCACACATTTGTGACACTCACAAGTCACATGTTCCAGATCAGCCTCCCACAAGATGATGGCTAGATTAACTTCTCATCTGTATAAATTTGGGGCATCACACTAGTTAGCAGTATTTTATTTGAATGATCTAATCACTTTGTAATTTGGCTAAGTTTCATACTAAATGTTCATATTATACTCACAAATGAACACATAAGCGTTATAATAACAATTAGTGTAAGAGAACGGAAGGTGGTTGATCTGGTCATATATCTAGACTAGATATTGACATTCAGCTGCAATGTTGTAGCAGACAACACGCTGTAAGTGCATAGGCAGGGAGGTAGTAGCTGCGTTTCTTCTATTTACAGATGTTCTAAGTATTTTGGAAGCCTTGACGACCCGTACTTTAAAGTGGATCTACAAATGAAGATTTTCTTTCTTCTGGGGTATATTTACAACCCCAATTCCCAAAAAGTTGGGACACTGTGTAAAATGTACATAAAAACCGAATGCAATGATTAAAGATTAAATGGAAAAAACAGAATTAAAAAAATTAAAATATTCAGAAAAGTAATAGCAAAAGGGAGGAAGGAGTTATTTAGGGCAGATTAGGGTTCACTAAGGGGTTAAATGTATACATAAAAAGAAACACATTTTATTTAAAAAATAAATAAATGATGTAATGTTGCTTTAACTGATACCATATGCAGATTAGATAATGTTGTTCTACATTGGAATGAAACTAAGTAAACACAATGTAACAATGTATTGTTACATTGTAAGTCTCAATGATACTTGCAGCAGCTCCTCCAATTCTGGTTTAAAAACCAGATAACATGCTACATATGTTTTCTGGAACATAAAATTTAGTTTTTTTCTGCGGCTGTAAGACTAAACCAAAGTAGAGCTCATGTATGGTCAATTCTACATACTATGTTTCTACATACAATGGGCTGTGTTTCCATTTGTTCTGATTCTAATTTGTATAATGCACTTGAACTTCTCCCACTCCAACATTTTTATGTGAAATACTTTCTAGATTACGCCAAAGTTTGTGAGAGGTGACTCCTGTGGTCTCTGTGTAATGCAATTGAGCAGAAGAAATGAAAGCAAATCTCCAGAACCATATTCAGAATTCCCAATTTCTCATACTATAGTCAGTTTCAGTTCTTTTGCTGCAAAAACAGGATTACAGAAAGTAGCACAGCCAATAAACAGCAACCCATTCCTTTCAGTGAGTGCAGCTCCCATATACTGAAAATCCCATCTGTTCACACATTTGTGACACTCACAAGTCACATGTTCCAGATCAGCCTCCCACAAGATGATGGCTAGATTAACTTCTCATCTGTATAAATTTGGGGCATCACACTAGTTAGCAGTATTTTATTTGAATGATCTAATCACTTTGTAATTTGGCTAAGTTTCATACTAAATGTTCATATTATACTCACAAATGAACACATAAGCGTTATAATAACAATTAGTGTAAGAGAACGGAAGGTGGTTGATCTGGTCATATATCTAGACTAGATATTGACATTCAGCTGCAATGTTGTAGCAGACAACACGCTGTAAGTGCATAGGCAGGGAGGTAGTAGCTGCGTTTCTTCTATTTACAGATGTTCTAAGTATTTTGGAAGCCTTGACGACCCGTACTTTAAAGTGGATCTACAAATGAAGATTTTCTTTCTTCTGGGGTATATTTACAACCCCAATTCCCAAAAAGTTGGGACACTGTGTAAAATGTACATAAAAACCGAATGCAATGATTTGCAAATCTCATAAACCCGTATTTTATTTACAATAGAAAACAGATCAAATGTTTAAACTGAGAAAATAGACAATTTTAAGAAAAAAATAAGGTAATTGTGAAATTGATCAAAAAAGCTGGGACATGGCTACAAAAAGCTGACAAAGTAAGGGGTACTAACAAGGAAGAGCTGGAAGAACATTTTGCAACTAATTTGGTTAATTGGCAACAGGTCAGTAACACGATTGGGTATAAAAAGAGCATCTTAGAGAGTCAGAGTGTGTCAGAAGTAAAGATGGGCAGAGATTCACCAATCTGGGAAAAGGTGTGTCTGGGGAAACTCTGTGCGGAAGCGACAACGCCAAAACGCGATACTGGATACTTGTGATCTTCGGGCCCTCAAATGGCACTGCATTAAAAACAGGCATGATTCTGTGATGGACATCACTGCATGGGCTCAGGAATACTTCCAAAAATCACTGTCTGTGAACACAGTTCACCGTGCCATCCAAAAATGCCAGTTAAAGCTCTATCATGCAAAGAAGAAGCCTTATCTGAACATGACCCAAATTCATTGCCGCCTTTTATAGGCCAAACCTCATTCAAAATGGTCTGTTGCAAAGTGGAAAACGGTTCTGTGGTCAGAAGAATTGAAATTTGACAACGATTTTGGCAACCATGGGCACCGCATCCTCCGGACTAAAGAGGAGAGGGACCTTCTAGGTTATCAGCGCTCAGTTTAAAAGCCTGCATCACTGATGGCATGGGGGTGCATTAGAGCGTATGGAATGGGCAGCTTGCACATCTGGAAAAGCACCTTCAATGCTGAAAGATATATCCAGGATTTAGAGCAGCATATGCTTCCATCCAGGTGATGTCTTTTTCAAGGAAGGCCTTGAATATTTCAGCAGGACAATGCTAAACAGCATACTGCATCTATGACAACAGCCGGGCTTCGTAGTAGAAGAGTCCGGGTGCTTAACTGGCCTGCCTGCAGTCCAGACCTTTCACCAAACTAAAATATTTGGCGCATCATGAAACGGAAAATACGAGAAAGACGACCCAGGACTATTGAACAGTTAGAATCCTATATCAGACAAGAATGGGACAACATTCCTCTCCCAAAACTCCAGAAACTGGTCTCCTCAGTTCCCAGAGGCTTACAGAGTGTTGTTAAAAGAAGAGGGGATGCTACACCGTGGTAAACATGGCCATGTCCCTACTTTTTGAGACGTGTTGCTGCCATCAATTTCAAGATTACCTAATTTGTTTCTTAAAATGGTCAATTTTCTCAGTTTAAACATTTGATTTGTTTTCTATTGTGAATAAAATATGAGTTTATGAGATTTGCAAATCATTGCATTGTGTTTTTATGTAGATTATACACAGTGTCCCAACTTTTTGGGAATTGATGTTGTAGAATGGTTACTAAAAAGTCCTAAGAAGTACCTTGTAAAATCTACCTTTTTTGAGAAGGTATGGCATGTGATTGTCCTTAGGCATCCCTGTTTTGTAGCCTCATAGTTGCATATCTACAGTGTGAGATGACTGCTATTCTCACGAAATATGAAATGAGAGTGGGTGATGTCAGTCCTGTGCTGCTCAATGTTCCTTTGAAGGCCTGCTGAACAGGCTGTGCCTGAGGACCGGCAGTGCACGCATCTTCAAGCTTTTTCTTCATTTATTCTGTGGATCTGTGGTTTCTGCACCTTTACTGCCAATTCCTAATCATTCCCCTACCAGGCATCAATTCATCAGCTCAGCAGTCATCAGTCAAATAGTGCATTTTGATAATATACCTGTAACTTAAATGTAATTAAACTATAATAGTTTGGAGTTTATAAGCTTTAAATTGTTTATTGGGGGATATATTTATACACACACAGATATACATAGAACACAGGGCTTCTGATGATGACGTTCATGCGTCCTATAGCTGTGAATGAATGGAGGAAGGGGGACTGTAAACTTCGCTATCCTTCACTTCGTGAGCAGTGGAACTCAAAGCAGCTGAGCCGGAAGTTCAATGGTTGACAGTAATTGCAGCATAAATACAACTAAGATTTTTAGCATCCCCAGCAGCCCTCCAGACTGCCCTTCTGTCATATAGAGCCATGAACTGCTCACTTGTACGTGAGCAATGTAGTGGCTCTGTCTGCTCTGTAAAATCCAAATGATGTTGAGCAGAATGCTCTCTACATTTCCTCTAAATCCCACTTGTGCAAGAAGTGAAGGGTGTGTTTGCTGCCCAACAACATTTTTCAATATTCAGATCTGAGTATCCTGAAGGATGCCTCCCATAACTCTGCTTGCACAGAGGAGGACCAGATCCTCAACAATTAATAACACAAATCAAAATATGATGATGATAAATGCCAGAGTATCCTTACTTTCAGAGACATTTCAACGTGTGTGACTTTTTTGACATTGTTGATTTATTTTAGTGAGATACTTTGATGACATGGAAATATCTCATGGACTTGGAAAAAAAAAAAATGAATGCTAACATTTATTGCAGATAGCAAAACAGAGTATAGTGTTATTCATGATCCTTCAAGGGGTTACATTATGGGTTTGAATATACACACCCGGACAGAAGTAGAAAAAGAATATTTAAAATATTGTTGACTAAGCCTGGGATATTCATAAAATGTGGGAGTTGGTGGCTCTGAAAATTCAGTGTGATTCAATGAAAATCCCAGCTAGAGCAGCCTATAAAATATAAATGTTTGTACTTAAACAGCAATTGAATATGAGGTGGAGTCATCTGCTGCTGTCTTACTAATTATCCACCTATATTTAACATTTCCATAGTCTGATGAAACACACATTAGTCTGAAGTTAGACACATTTCTTGAATAATAAAATTTAATGAAGGTGTAGGAATGACACTAAATTAAAAACACTACTATGAGAAGGTGACTCAGTAATGCTGTTGTTCACGCTAATGAGTTGCCCATCAGTCTCTCTTGTCGCAGAGAAGTTAATCTTTTAAACCATCTTTCCTCAGCTTCACCCTTCTCAATGTACAGCTGTAGAGGAAACATATTAAGAATAAGATGTTTGGGTAAATATCAAGAGACAGATATTGATAATATATGTAATATAAAATTATAAACAATACAAAAATAGATGCTACAGATATAAGATTGTTATAATGTCTCAAACACAGGTTATGAGTCACCATAGTGACTTAGTTAAATGATTACTTCCTAGCAAAAGAATGCCGCAAAGTGTACCCATACAGAAAGCCACAGTAGAGGTGTCAGCCCTAGTAAGCAGCTTAACCCTGTGATTGTTTTTAAACAATTTAAAAAATTGATTACCATAATGCTTTTTATAAACTAGCGGACATACTTTCCAGAATACTGGCAAGTTTGGACTTTTGGAAGAATAAGCGTCCTAAACACTAGGCCAAAAGTATCCTAAACAGCACACCAACCCACATACAGTAGACCTTAACTCACCATAGCACACCAGAACACACAGATGTGAATGTTCAGTGTGTTGTGAATCAAAAATAGTAGAAGTATTTTTTGTGGGTTAAAAAAAATTGACAGTCACTTTAAAATACTGAACCTCAAAGCACAATAATGTGCATTGTAACATACGCAAAGGTGGTCTTACATGTCATTTAAATGCACATCATCCTCTACTCAGTGTTTCTAGCATTTGTATCTGCACACTAAAACCTTGGAGTGCTTCACACAATTACTACTGTCATAGCTTCTGTACAGACCTGTAGCAGTTATCGGGACTAAACCATAAATGCTCCATAAAGATGACATTTATTACAAAGGTACAACTATCTTCTAAATCATATGCTTGCCAACAAAGTAAAACAACTACCCTGTTTCCCCGAAAATAAAACCTACCCCGAAAATAAGACCTAGTACTTTTTTTGGGAATTGCTAAAATATAAGACCTACCCCGAAAATAAGACCTAGTTGTGACCATTCCCAGGGCTGGTGGTGGCATAAAGGGGAACTTGAAAAGCTGCAGGAGAGAATCAGTGGTGCCAATGAAGCCAGTTCTAGAGGAAGCGAGGCGGCAGCGGAGGGAGCGGAGTCGCATAAGCCGATGCCTCCTCTATAGCGGCGGCTCCTGTCATCGGCGGAGTCATACCAAATGCACTCCACCTGTGAGGAATCCATAGTGAAAGTGCGTTTCGCTCATTCTGGCCAGTGATTGGTTACTAAATTGCTCTTGGAAAGGTACGGCACCCCTGATTGCCCTGATCACCCTATTCTTAACTTTGCCATTTTGGATGATTTAAATTTGGATTTACGTTAACTTTGGATTGTTATACATTAAAAAAATAAGACCTTCCCCGAAAAATAAGACCTAGTGCGTTTTTTGAGCCCAAAAAAATATAAGACAGTGTCTTATTTTTGGGGAAACACGGTATCTTATGTTTAAGGAATGCATCAACTAATCTGTCCCACATTGGTATTGGTAGTTTTCTTATTTTCATTCAGAAGACTGAGCAAAATCTTGAAATTGCATGGGGCTGTGATCTCTAATTTTAGGGCAAGAAACTGTTGAATTTTCATCCAAAAGGACTGTATTCTCATGCAAGGATATTTCATGTGGTTATTAACTCCTATCTACCGAGTTTATCTGTAGATAATGAAGCAGATGACTATTTGTACTTGCTAGCTGGTAACACAATACGGTTCTTTATTTATATCATATATTAATATATTATTAATATAGAATGTCAAGGAAGAATTTAAAAGAAAATATAGGACAAGCAAGGTGCCTGCTAAATGTCTCCACCTCCTTCGTTATCAGTTATAGTAAGCCTTCTACTCAAGGTAACAAGATAACTGGGTGTTGTATGCATAAAGTGATCTCTTTTTTACCAATAGCCTGTTTAATCACAATCATGGATGAATGCCTGATAATATAATATTTGCTAAGGGATCTACTGCAAATACAAATATTATGGGGAGGGAAAGGGGGCAGTCGACACCCCTGTCTAGTCACTCTGATCCAGCTTTGCTTCTAAACACTCAGAATTTGTGTATATACACTTCATTAACTTTGGACTAAAGGCCATTTTTGCTCTGACCACTCTACCATAAGACTTTTGTTATTCACTTGCAAGACTTGAATAATATTTAGATACATCCTGGATATGTTGGTAGATGTGTTTGTCTGGGCCCTAGAGCCTGATCAGTGTCAACTAAGGATAACATTAAAATTAAGTTTGACAGATTTTAACAAGTTTTTTTAACATCCTCATTTAGTCAATAGGCTAATAGGAGCCAATAGGCAATACAGAGATTAGGAATTTCCCCTAGTGCATGGAAATGATTGCCTCAAATGACTTTTAGTAGTTGTGGTAATATTGTATCTATCTAACTCTATCCATCAAACACTGGCACTTCAGAAGTTGGCCATCTAGGATAGGGGTCTTGTGAACAGCAAAGGAAAGAATAGCTGATTCAATTAATTTGAGGTGACTGCATTATCCAAGTAATTTATCTGCCTGTCAAGTTGTAGAAAAGTTATGGAAAGTAAAAATTCCTTACTAATATAATCTGATGTTGTGGTAAATAGGCAAGTATAAAATTGTACAAACACCTGCTGTGAGGATGTCTGCTTTAGCCAAAAATGCCAATGATTTCCCAATTTGAACAATATTTTCAAATAATAAAGCGGATTGAGAATACAACTTTTTTTAACACAAATTCTGTAGGCAAGTAAAAGTTTGTCTCTGTCACCTTTAGTTGCTTTTTAATGTGAAAGGTAAGGCTGAAGAAAAGTCTTCTACCATACCATATTTTGTGTCTCTATTCCCTTGTAACAAAATTCTGGTGATGAAACCAACAAGCACAAGTCAACCTCTAAACAAAATGTATGGTGCAACTTACATTTGGGTGTGCGACTGAGTTATCATCCAAGTACTTGATACCAGTTGGGACAGTACCAACATCTGTTTCTTTCTCTTCTGCAAAAAGATCCAGCGTCCCTGTCCCTAATATAGCAGAATCATGCTTGTTCTCTGTGTTTTCTGAAGACTAAAAACACCGCCATGAATATAAGATGTGAGGTAAAAGTAAAATATTGAATACACATAAGCTTTGTATATACATACATTCTTCTGTTCAATGCAATATGAAAAGCTCCCTTTAAAAACCTTGTGCATAATAAATTATATTTGTGGGATGGATAGATAGATAGATAGATAGATAGATAGATAGATAGATAGATAGATAGATAGATAGATAGATAGATAGATAGGATAGATTTTTAATACTGTCCCCTATTTAACCCAAGGTTATCAAATAGCCATTATAGGCCACTGCTGATGCTAAATGCCTAACCACAGGACAGTAAATGAGTCCAAGCAGCCAGATTAGACATGACATTAAAACAGGTTATATTACTAGATGTGGCTTTTCTTGCAACCATTAACGACAACTGGAGTATTAAATGAAAGGCAGCTTATTTAGTATAATTGTATGGATTGTGTTTCTAATTAACAATGAATACCTCCTGTACAGGCCTGTGTAATGTGTGGGAGTGCGGGAGGCCAGGTTTAAAGTGGATCACAATGGATGTCATGACACGAGCACTAATCTATAGCAGGCTCTGACCATTATGGATTATGTGTCCAATAAGACGTCACTCTACAGGATGGAGCCATCCATACACATTTATGTAAGGGATGCAAGTATTTGGATCTCTTTCCGCCAATTTAATTATTACTTGTCAGGCAGCCAATATATGTATATGTAAAACTAGCTGATCTAGAGGATGGCAAATGTAATTTTAAACAACAGTGCTATAGCTTCTTTACCTAGTAAAAGTATTGCTATGATGTCATTAGTACTAATAACTGAATCAGAAGATGTAAAAGGGGTATAATCACAGTCTTGTCAGCATTTTGCATATTAAGTCACACAGGGCCAAACAAGCTAAACACAAGTTCATTCAAAAATAATAAAAGCATTCATAAATATACATAAAATAGTCATACTTTTACAGGATTTGACATGTATATGACGCACATGTTCTGTATCGTTGAACCCAACAATGGTGACAGAAGCAACTTTAGGCTGAAACAGGCTAAATGCATGAGCTTGGTACAGCATTCTGTTATGGGTTTAGTAAACCTTGTCTTTGACTTTAACCAAACAGTATCTTATATTTAGTTGACTGACTTCAACAATAAAAAGTAATTAGTCTACACGTAGTTTTATAAAGGTGTTGTTATTGTGACAAGGGGAATGAAACATTTGACCTTATGCAGAAAAATGTGTAAAGAAAGCACAGTTCATGTTACTTATAAAAAAAAGCCAACTCTTCCTCAGGTATCTGGTGCAGTATTGGGGAAGTACAAGGAGAATCAAGTTGGTGTGCGCAACAAAAACAGACCTTTCTCCTGTCACTTGTTATGAAAGTAAAGGCCATAGCATATTAATCCTCCATTGCATTGCCTGCATTGATAACACAGCACAAACACACTGTGTGCCTCCAGATGTCCAGCATAGGGAGCTGTCCACTGCATTGACTTTAAATACACAAACATTGCTTTCCTTGTTTTCTCCATAAAGATACTTCACTAAACACTTATAAACTGCTGCTGAGCTTTCACAGCGTGACGAGACGTACGGCTCCAGCAGCTGGAAATAAATATATAATAAAAAAACAACATTATTAAGCTGTGATACTTAAATATACACCATGGAAAGCATATTAAATGTCTTGAAATACAACCAAGTCGAGCATGAATTATCCCCATAAATCAGTTTAAAATGGTTGCTGCTCATTTCCACAGGACAGAAATGTGAATAAAGATCTCGTTGAGCGGTGTGTGCTAAATAAATTCTGCTGTGACCTTCAGGGCTGTCATAGTGCATGATTCTCAATGAAGTATGCCGGGTAAGAAAGGCTATGCTCATAAACTGCCCCCTCTGCAGACATGTACGGCAGGCTCAGAGAATTGACAAACTCATTTCAAGCTACGTTCAGCCCTCCACCCCTTTGTCAATTACTTTAGAGATGATAGCTTGCTGAGAATATCGCTCCGTTCCCGTACTTTGCAGATAGATATAATAAATATGTTTAACCGCTTCAGGGCAGAATTTAATGGCTGTGGGTTACGCAGTTTGTTAATCTTCGTGGATTAAATTATAGGCGGTAGATCCCATGCTGCCTTTAATTCTCCAGTCCGTATTGTCCACTGGGACCCCATTCCACAAATCAACTACTCTAATCTATAAAGCTGTATTTATTCTCTAATCAGCTATCTCTGATTCAGGCCTTCACATGTATATGTGAGCGTACTAGAGACTGAAAGACCAACTGTACTTCAACAATTGGATAACAGAGAAAATAAGCTTTGTATTATATGGAAATCTCTTTTTAAAAGTTTAGTAGGCCACAAAGCTATGGCTTACACTAGTAAAGGCAACAAAGTGCAGCTGCATGTTAGGCATGATATTACTGCTGCAAGATCATTCCTTGCACATTCATGCTTGAATTTCTTGAGCATGTGTGTTTATATCAATGTAAGGAAAAGGGTTAAATACACCCTAAACTCCAGCACTGGCATACCTTGGCACAAACTACAATGACTGGCTAAAATGATCTGGTAGAGCCAATTCCTCCTTCGTGCAAGAACGCTCCACAAAAGGTGAATTATGCAACTGGATCGTCTCAAGCCAGTAGAAATCTTTAGACTGGATATGCAAAGGTAGGCCTTTCACCAAGAAAAAATGAGTAAATGAGAGCTCTGCCAGTCTTCACTTGAACTTCATGCTGCTGGGATCTTCTGCAATGCTTTTACCGCACTTGTGTAGTGTCCTTGCCCGTTCTGTGGAGACCACTAATCTTTACAGGGATTGCAGACTAAAAATTTATCTAATAGTGTGAGCGCTCATATTCACTTGTTCTCTTGTACACAACTCAACTATCACAGGTGATACACAAAGGAGTAAAGGCCTTGTTTATCCTCTTGTCTCTTCCAGTACTGAAACACACTTTCCCTACACTATAAAAAACATAATTATCTTAAAGAAATGAACATCATTCTACTCCAATGTGTACTGAAAAAAATATGCTGCTGTATCTTGTGCAAAAGTTAAGGACCACCAGAAGGAACATGTAAGGTGTTAAATTGTAAGGTGTGTTCAGGCACGCTTAGTGTCCGGAATGCACTGGATCGAATAGAGCAAGGCTCCCTGTGTTCTGGTGGTGCCATTCATGTCAATGGCACCACACCGCCCGCCCCAAAACATGTGGTACAGCAATGCCTGCGATCTGGGGCGATCGCAAAAAATTTGTATATGCACTATTTTTTGCGATCGCACCGCACCAGACCACGGGCATTGCTGTACCATGCGTTTTGGTGCAGGCGATCACACTGCGGATGGGAAGCGTGGCTGCGGTGCCAATGACTTGAATGGCACCATCACACCCTCTCCCACCCCAGAACACAGAGAGGCATGCTCTATGCGATCCAGTGCATTTTGGACACTAACCGTGCCAGAACACAGGAACAAACAAAAACAGAAGTTGGACACATGGTAATGTGAAGAAATGTATGGGAGACACATGTGGACATGCAACTCTATAGTATTCCACTTTGGGCTCTCACTACATCTGCCACCATGGGGTTGTCGAGAACATACAAATAAATGAAATATCGAAGCAGTAGTGGAACACTTAAGGAGCGCTGAAGGTATGTATAGACCTGGGAGCTCAAGCACACAGATCTCCAGAGTCCCTGAAAATATAAAAAAAAAATGCTCCTTCACCAATAGTAAGCAGACAAACAGTATCATCTAATATCCAAATTATGCTACAAGCTCAAATTTAGATTACCAAAAAATATCTCCTAATTATAGTATATAAAACATCATCACTTCAACGGGTTAAAGTCTTCTTGAAAAGCATATAAAATATTTGCACTTCAGAAGAAATACCATCTGAGGTTTTAATTTGACATCTAAAGTGCTGATTGAGACTCCATTCACACTAAGCGACATGGAAATCGCGCGACTTTGAGCGACATTGAGCGACGTGTCGCGCGACATCTTCCTATTGGGCTGTATGCAATCAGGAGCAATATCGCTCAAAATCGCTCTAAAAAAGGGTCATGTAGGAGTGACAAACTACCAGCGACGAGCTACAAGCGATATTGAGCGATATTGAGCGACGAGATGTGAACAGCTACATTGAAATGTATTGGTGAAGCTACGTAGAGCGATATAGCGCGGAAATATGAGCGATATCGCAGCAAAAATCGCTCCATAAATCGCTCAGTGTGAATGGGGCCTAAAAGGAGAACTATGGGGTTAGGGCTTTTCCCCATAGTTCTCCTAAGGGTAACAGGAGGACACAAACTAGCGTCCTCCCGTCACCCAAAGCTCAGTATATACTGAGTATACCGAGACGCCGTGGCTGGAACGGATCCCGACAATTATGTCTGGATCCACCCAGCTGCGTGAGTGACAGCTGGCTCTGCCTATCTAGAGGCAGAGCCAGCTGTACACTCCCCCTCCCCTGTCCGTTCCGTCAGTCAGCGCTGGAGGATCGGACAGGGGAGGGGGGAATCCAGGCTCTCCCCTGTCACGGCTCTCTGCCGGCACAGGATCGGGAAGTGAGCGAGCGCCGGTATGTGTTCGCTCACTTCCCGATCTACTGAGCCGACCTGTGACAGTCTCATTGTCACAGGTCAGCTCAGATTATGAGGCCGAGTGAAAAAAAAATCACTCACCTCATAATTCTCCTTAAATACCATAATTTCAACATATATTTATTTTACACAAAACTTTGAAGATTTTCAATATTTTGTTGGCTATGAACTGGGGAGTAACACATACTAAACCTGTAGCTGTAAAAAAAAAAACAAAAAAAAAACATGATCAGTTCTTTCCCCCCCAAAAAAACCCCAAAACACAATGTTATGAACTTTAGATGCAGTACTAACCCCTTAGACAAGCCTTTTGTCTACTGACCACTATTTACATCCTACTGTTCGAGACTATTTGGTACTTTTAGAGGGGGGATATTTAAGTTTTTGGAAGATGCTGGAGAGTTAAAAAAAAAATTCATAAAAATGAATAAACATTAAAGTGACACAAACCTCAGGAGTTAAATCTTAAAAATTCATTCAAATACCGTAACTATTAACATTAATGTATCTTATTTGTGTATCAATCGGCTGTAGGTCCTCAAATCATCTCTGAATTGGTGCTGACACTGTCCTTCCTTCCTTCTGGAGGGTGGCTATGTTCCCTATGGTCCCTGCGTGCGTTGTGGAGCGGTGGCTACTTTACAACACACACAGGGACCATGGGGAAGGAAGGACAGTGTCAACACAAATTCAGAGATGATTTGAGGATCTACAGCTGAGTGATACACAAAAAAGCTACATTTTTGTTAATAGTTAGTGTACTTCAATGCATTTTTAGGATTTAACGCTGCAGTTTAGTGTCAGTTTATCAAACAGTTTCTTACCCCTTTTAGGGAGATGCAAGTGAGTTTGCACATACACGTATGAAGGGGCGCCTGCACTTACTGTTTGTTTTCTGGTTTGTTTTACAATATGATGCACGTATCACCATCACACATTCCTCTTGGACTGAGATTCCATGGTTGGCAGAACAGAGTTGGGAAGACTCCACCGTATGACATAAACAGCATTTGCTGGTAGACAGACCCTTTGGCCTGAGCTGTAATGCCAGAATTGCTTTTTAAGTGTGGACACATGGGGTAGTAGGCAGGTAGCTTGATCTATGGCTCAGAGAATATTGATGTAGGAGACAGTCAAGCAACTAGCATTTTACAGAGGAGGTCAGTAATGGTGTCCTCCACATATGTCTTAGTACAGGCATCCTTCAATGAAACAACGGGTAGAATCATGCAATCGGGGGATAAGGAAATCCACAGTTATAATCAAATTATGAAACTCAATAATAAAGCAAAACCTGTAAAACATCCTGCTAGTTTCATCTAAGATTGAAATCAGTTTGAAGGGAGAATGGTTCCAATATTCATGATGGCTCATCAGTTATAGGAAGCAAAGATGTATAGGTAAGAACACACTTATAAATGATACCCTGTCAATGAAGTAAATGTCATACATTCAAGCTTCTTTTTTATTTGTGAAGAACCTTGTTTTTATACAATGTAATTAGTTAAGAACCTTGTTATTATCAATTATATTGGTTAATGATGTGTCCTGCAATGTACTAAATATAAAAAGAACAAAGCCCATATCCTCTTTAGCTTCATGCCAGCACCTAGTGCTCTAGTGTTCCCCGATCACCCCCAATCTGCTGCCAGAGCCCTGAGAAATACTTGGTACTTTCCGGTATGGGGAAACATATGGCCCCCATCACACAACATTTGGTGCTTGAGCCAACAATTGCAGGCTTGATTGCTGTCATATTGGAGTTAGAAAGTTAGAATCAGTATGCTGAACTCTAAGCAGGTTTCAGCTTTTAGAAAGTCAGTTATGTGGGAAACGTAGGGCACTCTAGTAATGGATCAGGGAGAAAAGGGGGTGGAGGGAATGCAAGTACAGTTACCTTGGGTGTCTGCACTTCTTCTGCCCTTTTTGGAGAAAGTACAGACTTGCTTTTAATCTGACTGGTTGTTTCAGTTTTTAGGGCTAAAGCACTGGTTGTAAACAAAACACTGTAAAACACAAAAACTTACAGCTTTACTGTCTCGACTTGACCGAAAGTTCTGAGCTATAAAGGAGTCACTTTCAATAGCTTCAATTTCCTTCACACGCTTTGCTTGTTCTATAAGTATGCTCTGGTCTGAAAGGTAAAAGAAACTTATGAACATATATTAATGGACAGTTGTTAAATCTCACAGACAAAATATTAGTTTTGGGTCAAATTAGCTGTTAAAGCAAACCTGTAGTAACTTGCAGTGTCAGCTGGGCCATAGAGCAGGCACTTTTTTTTTTCCAGAGCACCTCTGGATTTCTGAAACCTGGATGTTCTATAATGCAAATACCGACTTCACCTCACACTGCAGATAACTGAGGCCACCCATAACATTTAGCAGCAAATACTAAGGTGCAGGAAATGGGACAAAAAATGGCTATCTACGTAAAGTTGGGATTTGCATATTACCAGATCATATGTTTTTGGCACTCAAGGCTAAAAAAGCCTTCTATAAGGTCCAACCTGCACTTTCTTAGAGATCAAGTCACTATGGGTACATGCTAAAGGCATTGACAACACTTTTTTTTACAATACTTAAGAAAAAACATGCAATCAAAACTGTTATTTCAGTTATTGCTACTAGGATAAATTGCCCATTAGTTTCATATCCACTGGGGATACTTTCTTGTTGTCTCTTCCACCTCAAAGTAGTTTCACTGAAATAAGTAGTTGGACTTGGGAATTCAGATTAAAATATCTTTCAACTGGGGTCTCTGAAACATCTTAATTGTCTTTTAAGTCAATTTGCTGGTATCCACCTAATATGGAAATACAGTTTTAGGGTGCAGAGACCTGTAAGACTTGAAACACTTGAAAGATCAGGATACCTGGACTTTGCATAATTTTGCAGAAACAGAAAACGATTTGTCAAAATACTCTAATCAAGGCTTCAAGCTGGAGCATGCCCATCATTTATCATTAGCCATACTTGTTTGTAGTATTTATCATGGACAAACAGATAAGATGTGACAACCAGAAAGAAATTACACAGGGGCAAGTATAAAGATGAAAATAAATAAATATATGGCTAAATGTAAGAGTTATGTCGATGACATTAACGTGGTTGGAATGGACTGCAAGGAAGTGAAATCCATTAGTGACTGATACTTTTTGACAAACACATTATTGGGAGATAAAATGACTTCCATATGATGTTTGTCAGATGTCAGTAGAAAGGACATATATATTTCATAGGAAAATCAAAAATAATGGATTGAGAAGGCTAGGAAGCTGCAGAAATCAATGCTCACTTTGTAAAAGTCCTTGCTGAAAAATGAACATGAAAAGACATCCAATAATGGCTGATGTCCTGTACGGAAATCAAACTCGCTTGTTTGCTGAATATTCAAAGCAGGCTTCAAATATTGCTTCTTTAGGTCACTCCATCTTATCTACTGGATCATTCAAAAACATGTAGGACGCTAGGACAGATCTTAAAAAGGAACAAGAAAAAAATGTGTCTTTTGCCAATGAAAAAACAACCTAGTTCTTCATATTTAACCTATACTAGAAAACTAATAGGAAACTTCTGACTGGCAACACTTAAGATTATTTTACAAGAAAAGTTTACTGTTTGAATACCAAACAAACTGAAGTCCATTCCCTCCAACTGTTTTTCATTTGGAGGATCTGCCCCTCATTTGGAACCAAATCAACCTTGTTCCTCCCAAGTTGTCCCTCGTTTTGGTCTGATGTACAGATATCTACCAAAAGGTTCTATTTAACTATCATAGGTGTTATTCTGCATTAAACCTTTTGACATTTTAAAAGCCAGTATGAAGGAAAGTACTGGTGAAAAAAACAAGTCTGGGTTTCACCAATCATTTTTGAAATATACAGTCTTAATGGCTGGTATAACTGGGGGTGTGGCAGGGGTGTCTCCATTGCCTAAATACACTGTATTCAAAGGTGCAATTCAGATTTCCGAAGGGACGTCTTTACCACCCGATAATGCCATCAGACACTTCAAGAATGTCGATCAAAATTTAGTTTGCTACCTAACGAAAACCACATTCACTGTTAGAATTTTGTTCATTTGACAAACATTTTCCAAACTGTTCCTTTTAGTTTTTTCGTCAGTACGGTCGAAATCGATCATCGGTTTAACCCCCAGCAATCAACAAAAAGTTATTTTGTGCAAAAGTTCTTTAGAAAATCTAAGTATATGGCCAGCTTAACAGATCTCAGTGCTGTGGCCTGTTCAGGACAAGACAATGTTTAAAGCCTGCGACCAATACTTTTTATGTCACATTTTAATCCATTATATGGATTATAGAGTATAAGGTCTACCTCCAGTGTCTTTCTAGAGGCAGCCCATTAAACTCTTTGGGTACACACACAACATATATGCTGTTCACTTCCAGAGGTATGTCCTATAGTATGCTCATACACACCTCATACCGAAATTGTGTAAAAAAGAAATTACACATGCACACACGCGCACACACGCACATCTTTAACTCCTCTTACGCATGATTAAATTTGGCAATCTAAAAATACAAAATGTAATTACTACAATTGTTGAAATTAGGCTATATTTTATTTATTAAATGGCAGGGGTAGCACTGTGGATACATGCCATCCTGCCTCACAGTGCCAGGGCCCTGGTTTTAAATTTAGTTGGGCTCCTTGACATCAGGCATTTGTATGAACTAACTATTACACAGTAAAGTAATGTGAAATGTGTTGGATCTATTTAAAACGATGACACTGGTAATATCAAAAGGCTAGAGCTATAAGATCAGCATTAAGCAAAGCAACTAGATTTTTCATATGAAGGTCAGCAATGGTAGGAATAGGTAATTCTATTATGATACGCTTGCCTTAAATGTGACTCCTAACAATATAAAAATGTGCTTGATATAAACCTTGCAGACAACTTCGCTCTACCTAAAATGGAACTAATGTTCTGTCTTGGCATATTATAAATAATATCCAGTGGAATACAGCACTGTAAATCTGCAGCAATGTGGCGCTATGAAATCACCAGATTATATTTTGGGAAAAAAGAGCAGTTAATTCAAAATGCAACATGCCAACTAACAACTTTCAGAGGCAGGAGACGGGCTAGCTTTTAAATTACAATTATTATGACTCATTTTATGTGCTGCCAAGAGGAAACATATATTTGTATCAAACAGAAAAGCAATCATCCATAATAATCACTAGGTGGCACTCTTTCCCAAGAAAACACTTCATTGAAATGTTTCTTTTCTATCTGGCATTCATATTTTCCCACATTCATATACTGCAACATACAATAAATGTGATGAATGCTACTACGTTTATTTTAACCTTCTGAACACTTAAAAAAGCGCTCATTGCTACTCTAGTTTTGGAAGCTTTTCTGAATCTTGTAGGAATTTATTATTATAAACAGTGTATAGCACTAACCAGTAAAGAGGGGAAACCTAAAATCCAAAATGTTGCTAATCTGACAGGTGAGGAAAAGGGTCCCAGTCCCAGGTGTCTGTTACAGGAAATATGAAGGTGCTGCTGACCCCTCATGTCCCTGAATCTCGATGTGCTTTGTATATTTCTACCAGATCTGTGCAGTAATACAGTTTGCAACTTTGCCACCATGCACAAGCTTTCTATAATAAAGACCAGTCACTGCTGCTCTGTCTCCTTGTGCAGCGTGACTGGTCTTGTATCCGCCCCCCTCCTGTAGTTTTCCCCAGGCAGCCTGTAGTGTGCAGAGCCTGTTCGGTTCCTTCCCACAGCTCTGGTCTCTCAACAGGCTATGTGGAGCACTGTGGTTATGTCACTGCTACTCATAACAGGCTATGTACAGCACTGTGGTTATGTCACTGCTACTCATAACAGGCTATGTACAGCACTGTGGTTATGTCACTGTTACTCATAACAGGCTATGTACAGCACTGTGGTTATGTCACTGTTACTAAAAAAATATCTGGGTCTGCAAAGGCATTTAGTGCACATAAAGTACATTTATATCCATTTTGGCTATTTGGGTATATATCTGGATGGAAGTTTCTGTGTCTTGAGTTCAGCTTTAAAAACTTTCTAAGTCACTGACCCATAACAAGCATGCAGCAAGTAACATTAAGTCAGTGCTTGTGATTTGCATACCATTTTGTCAGTGATCTAGGCAGGCGACTAGCATTTCCATAGGGAGATCAGTAGTGGCAGCCTATATATTTCTGTTATGAAAGGTTTCCCTAAGGGATAAAGTCAGCACCACATACAAGGCATAGGGGGGCACCTTTCTGATATGCAAAGGTACTTATTTCTGGTGAGTGACCTTTTGGATTCCAGGTTCATATATACAGTATATGAAATGCTCCAGACAGCACAAAAAAAAAAATATCGCTGCAGGGGGTCTTCTCTAAGTTAACCTTTACCTTACATCACACATTGGATGCTTATGTAAAGAAATCATGGGTAGGTAGTGGTATTCTTATTAAAAAAAATAATATATATATATACAGTATATCTATCTATCCATCTATCCATCCATCCATCCATCACGGAACTGATAGGTGAAGATAAGATCACTGCCATTACTGGGACTATACAACAGCTTGAGAAACTGACACTGAATATAGTACGGAGAGGTAAGACATTAAATAAGAAACATAGCATTACAATAACGGCTATGGCAAGTCCTTAAACGTTTCTACTCAAGCCTCACATTCTAAGCCTGGATGATCTTAGTCTTCCTTCCTGCAAATCAATTCCAGAACGAAACATTTTGCTAAATAAGAATGTAAATTTAAAGTCGAAGCACGTTTCTTATTGATATACAGCAAATAACTACAAAAATATTTGATTTTAAATGAAAATGTAGATGCAATTCAACATAAAAATGTAGTACATATGAAATTCCATTACAAGCTGTAGTGTAAAATACACTAAGATTATCAACACTATAAATCACATAAAAACAATAGCAGGTAAAACCACAAGTTAATGTGTATGAGCAAGAAGTTAAGATTTCTTTGAATCGGGAGTACTTAAAAATCTTATCAGATAAGGTTATCAGTCTCACCAGTACTACTGCATGGCCACAATGATCTCCACTTTTCAGTGGGAACTCGCTGGATCTCACCCAGAGACCGCGGCCA